TCTCTACTAAGTCATGCCAACTACTTTATATATGATCTTTGGGTCACTGATCCTGTCATCTTGAAGGAAAAGGTGTTGAATTTCTTTGAAGAGGTTTACAAGGACGATGGTACTCCCAGATTTCCTTTTCCCCTATCTAGTCATTTTCCCAAGATCATGTGTCCTCCGTTTCATCAGTTGCATTCTGTTCCCTCGCCTTTAGAGATTAAATAAGTGTTCTTCAATCTGAATCCGTTCAAGGCTCCAGCCCGTATAGATTACAGGCAATATTTTTTCAATCTCGGTGGAGTCTGATTGAGAAATCTGTGTGCAATGTCATCAGAGATATTTTTGCGAATCCAGGGAAAATTGGGGATATTAACTCTGCTCTCATCTGTCTAATCCCGAAGACTACCAATCCGGAGACCATCAAACAACTACGACCTATCAGTCTCTGCAATGTCATTTCAAAAGTTATCACAAAGATTATAGCTAACAGGCTGAGGCCTCATCTCTCTAACCTGGTTTTACCGAATCAGAGTAGCTTCATAAAAGGGAGACACAACTCTGATAATGTCATTGTAGCTCAAGAAATAACGCACTCTATGAGGTGTAAAAAAGGAAACAAAGGATGGATGGCCATAAAGGTCGATCTCGAGAAAGCCTATGACATGGTTAATTGGGGATACCTTCAGGATACTCTGTTGGAAGCGGCCCTAATGATGCTGCGATTAATCTTATTATGAAGAGTGTTACGACAACTTCTTTGAACGTTTTGTGGGAAGGGGAGACAACCAGATATTTCCAGCCTACCCGGGGCATTAGTCAAGGAGATCCATTGTCTCCTTACCTTTTTATTTTGTGTATGGAGAAATGAGTCAAATTATCTCCTATGCATCCTCGAGGAAGTTCTGGAAACCTATTGTTCTGAGGAAGAGAGGGCCCCCTATTAGTCATCTCTTCTTCGCGGACAATCTGCTTTTGTTCGCAGAGGCATCACTAGAACAAGCTGACCTCATTAGAAGAATCCTATAATGTTTTTGCGACTCTTCTGGGCAGCGTGTGAATAGAGATAAGTCCAAGGTCTATTTTTCTAGAAATGTAAATCACCAGAGGGCTGGGGAGATTGCTCTCGCTATGGGCTTCTCAATCACTTCGAACCTGGGGAAGTACTTGGGAATCCCTCTTATGCATGAGAGACCAAGGGCTAAAATTTTCGATTTCATTCTTCAGAATATGGATAGCAAGCTTTCAAATTGGAAGAGGAATACTTTCTCTTTAGCTGGGAGGGCCACTTTGTCTCAATCTGTGTTGGCAACCATCCACACCTATGCCATGCAAACCTACCTTCTTCCTTCGAAGACCTATGATGACATCGAGAGAAGAACACGTAATTTTCTTTGGGGTTCCACTTTGGAAAAAAGAAAATATCATCTTGTGGCTTGGAGCAAGGTCTGTTGTCAAAGAGAGTTGGGGGGCTTGGGTTTCAGAAGCTTGAGAGGGATGAACCAAGCCCAGCTTATGAAGGTGGGACATGGCTTCTTAACCAAAAGAAATAGCCTTTAGATGCAGGTATTGAGAAATAAGTATGGGGTGGGGTAAGAGTTAATTCCGGGTCTTCATAGAGCAAACCAAACTTCAAATTTATGGAAAGGAATTACTAGAGTTTGGCCAAAGGCTGTTCAAGGGTCTCGTATTCAACTAGGAGATGGTACCAAAACTAGCTTCTGGAAGGACAAGTGGCTAGCTAATTCTAAGCTAGTGGAGGCGAAGGATTCGGGTATCATCCCTGAGGAATTTTGGAATTGGACGGTTAGCAATTGTGTTGATTTTACAGGGGGTGGGATTGGCAAATTCTAAACTTTCTTCTCTCACCTTAATCCCTTGCGGCAGTTGTTAGTATATGGATGTCCTAGAGATAATCTTTTGATTAGATTAGGACATATGTGTACCTTTTATATTGTCGCAAATAAATCATAAGCACTCTTTATCATGTTTCATATTTTGTCTCGATATCATTGTTAATATATTATATCAGTAACTAGATAAACCCCTTGGAATAGAATAGGTATCTCTTGAGTATCTGTCATGAGATCACGATCATGAGGATTCAAGGATACCAGATGTTTATTCCTAATTTTTATGTTCCTAGTCCAGAGACACTGAGAATGGGGATCAGTGATCTCGGGTAAGACTAGCACGGCTTATCTACTTGTATTCAAATACAAGGTAAAGACCTCATGAACTAAAGATATGGAGATATCTTAGCTAAAGTCGTGGGTGGACCTATAAGGGTATAGCTCGCACTGAACAGACCCACAAAGAGACTCTATGAGGAAATCTCACAAATAGTATCATTAGAGTAGCCTCTTATTATTTGGGTATGTCTTTCCTTAGACCATAAGTTTTCACCTAGACTGTGTTCTAGAAAGCATGTTTTGATTGTATACCTCGTCTGCCTGAAACATGGAGATACATAGGTATATCTTTGGACATGTCCTGAAAGAACACAAACCTAGGGTGATAAGCTGAAGGAATTCGTCAAATCTCTGTGAGGGATTAGGTTATCTGTAAACCAGAGAAATCGGGATGACATTTACGGGACTCGGGAATCTATGCATAGTAAAACATATCATGAGATGATCTCCCTTTAGAGTCAGTAAATTGAAGATTCCCTATTTCGAATTAAAACTTACCCTAAACCGCAAGGGTTGATACATCTCCTCACCCTAGGTTTAATGGGAAGGTAACCGAGACGAAAGGAAATACATACGGTAACCAAATTCATTTAATAGGATGATCATGTCATTAACCTAACTAGCTCTGGGGCAATAAAGCATTGCTAGTGCTCTGTGTTGTAATTAAATGTGTTGTGGTCTTGTTGGGCCCAAGCTCATTTATGTCAGTGGCTATGTTGGGCCTAATGGGTCACACACTAACACCTTATTGTCTTGACATTATAGCATTAAAGGTTTTGAGCCTAATAATAGTTTTTAGCCCAAGAAGAAGTTTGGAAGCCTACCTAAGAAGGAAAGAGGAGCATGGATGGTGATAATGGGCTTGGATAGTTCAAGACATTATTATTTAATTTAAATAGTTAAATTAATTATCTAATATTTAATTTTATAATTTAATTTTTGAATTTAAATATTTGAATTTATATATTTGAATTTGAATTGACTATAGTAGTTTTGTTTCATACCAAAAGGAGAAGATAAGAGCTAGATTTGAATTTGAATTCAATTAGCATCTTATCATAATCATGTCCTTGATTTTAGGAGAGGATTTTATAGCTGAATGGGGCGCTGAAATAGGCAGCCATATGATGGTTGTTAGACCAATAAATTGACTTGGTTGTCAGCCTTATTTCGCTCCATGATTTGTACGCTTCATGATCTGATTTTGGAATGATTTGATGACTCAAAATCAGCATGATTTGTGCGCTCCATGATCTGATTTTGGAGTGATTTTATGACTCAAAATCAGCAGCATATAATCCTCCTTTAGTCTCCTTTTAAAGGGGAATTCGGCTAAGGGTTGAGTGTGAAAAACCTACCACTTCTCCTACCATTATATGCGCCACTCTTGTGATTTTTCTTGCTGAAAATTCACTCATCAAAATACCTTGAAACCTTGCCTCCTTCCTCTCCTATTGGGACGCCTAGCTTAGGGATGGCAAAAACGAGCCAACCCGTCCGGTTGGCTCGCAACCCGTCCGGTTGGCTCGCAACCCGTCCTAAATAAGTCGGGTTGGGTTGGCCTAAATGAGCTGCCAACCCGACTCAACCTGACCCGATACAACCCAGACCCAAACGAGCCAGCCTGCGGGTCAAACGGGCCAGCTCCGGGTTGGGTATTTTGTTTTTAATTCAAAAAAAATAAAATAATATGATTGTATTAAAAAATAATAATAATAATAATATGAAAACTCCAAAACTGTCATACGCTCACATCGTCGTCACTCGTCACTTTCCTTAACCCTAAGATTCTTATGCCCCTTTGGATAGCTTGTTCACCCTGTTACCATTAACCTTGCATCTTCGGGTCTTTTGGCCTATTCTCTTGACAAACGCAATCCACTACTCCTAAGGTGCAATACCATTTTCTCTATATTTCTCATCTTTCTTTTTTATTTCCCCCCAATATATATATGAAAATGGATTCATTGTTCTTCTTCTATGTTGTTGACATTATAAGATTTGTTACTTCAATCTTTTTTCTTTTTCCAATCTGGGTACCTTTGAAGAGATCAAAGTTAGAACCTTTTGGCAGTGTTGATAATTTTAGCAGTGTTGGAGAACAAATAAGACTAGTTCCACAAAAATTAATTTTTTGAGCCAACCCGCGAGCCAATATTTCGTCGAGCTAACCAACCCACGAGCCAACCCACTAGCATCATTTCGAGCTAATCCGCGAGCTTTTTTTGAGCCAACCTGCGAGCTTTATTCCGAGCCAACCCGCAAGCTGATTATCGAGCCAACTCGCGAGCCAACCCTAAGGTCGGGCTGTGTTGGGTTTTCTGGCTCGTTTATTTTTTCGAGTCAACCTTAACCCGACCCATTTTTTACGGATTGAATGCGGGTTGGGCCGGGTCGAGCCGGGTTGAGCCGTTTTGCCAACCCTAGCCTAGCTTGCTTCCTTTTGGGTTTTCGATTGGTGGTTTTCAAGAACGGTTCTCGCATCTTGACAAAGGGTGGTGTGGATCAACATTATAGGGTTTGAACCTTCAAGCCTAACATTGATCATCTTCGAGTTTTGAATTACAAACAAGGTAACATTCTGTCCTAAAGCATGTATCTTGAATTGGTATGTGTAATTCCGCTTGAGAAAATTTTTGTTTTTCCCTCTCATATGCCTACGGTCTTCAAGGCCCTTTCTTTCAGTAGTGGCGAGTGTTATGGCCCCGAAGCTAGGAATTGGTGAAGACTTTGTCACGTGGGCTGAGACTAGTGATGGCCTGTTCGCTGTCAAATCTGCTTTCAACTTGGTGGAAGAAAACTCTAGAAGGATTCAAAGTCAAGGGATTGGAGCTATCCCTTGGAGGTGGCAAGGCCCCAGAAGGATTCAAATGTTCATTTGGAAGGCTGTTGGGAATCATCTGCTGACCAATGTCAAAAGGGAGCGAAGAGGCCTAACGTTGGACAATCTTTGCAACTTCTGTCGTTTGGAACCAGAGGACACTACGCATGTGATGAGGGACTGTGTTTGGAGTAGGGGAATTTGAGAGCGAATTGTGGATGGAGAACAATTGTCTGATTTCTTTGCCTTAGAGGGTAAACTGTGGTTCGAGCATAACCTTAAGCCCTTCTTGTCATACTCTTCCCAAAGGGACTGGAGCTTGTTTTTTGGGATCCTTTGTTGGTTAATTTGGAAAAGCCAGGAATGAATGGATTTTTGAGAATAAACAAGCGAATCATGTTGCAATCATTAGACAAGCAAATTTGTTTGTGTCGAACTTCAAGGAGGCTTGGGCAGCCCCGGGGCCGACAGGATGTTTAAAGGAGGAATAAGGAGGAGCTACAAATTGCTTGGAAGTTTCCACCTCAAGGCTGGGTTAAACTGAACTCAGATGGGTCTAGCAGCTTGGGTGGATCTCTGTGTAGCTGTGGAGGTGTCATTAAAGATGAAGCAGGTTTTTGGAGGGGAGGGTCTTGTAGGAAGTTGGGAATTGGCTCATCACTGCGTGCTGAGATTTGGGGTATTCTTAATGGCCTCCACGTTGCTTGGGACATGGGCTTTAGAAAGGTTTGGATAGAAAATGACTCTGATGTTGCAATTAGGCTGATTGAAGGTAATTGTGCAAACTGCCATCCGCTGGCTCCTCTAATTACTCAAATTCAGGTTATGCTTTGCAAGCAATGGCAAACCAGGATCAACCACATCTTTAAAGAAGGAAATTCTGTTGCAGATGCTCTGGCAGCCAAAGGTAGTTTGTTAGACACTTGGGATTTGCAGATTTATCTTGAGATCCCTATGGTTTAGAGAGATCTTTTTGTTAGAGATTTGATGGGCATTAGTAGCCCTAGACTTTGTTTTGTTTCTTAGTTCTGTTTCTTTTCCTATGTTCAAAAAAAAAAAAAACTACATTAACAATTAATCATTCGCAAGAAAACTTCCTTCATGGCAGGTCAGAATGACCAAAGATGCGAAATAAGAAAATAAAATAACGACATGAGAATTCATAAACAGCATCAATCTAGCAAAATGTCATGGACTAACAAGCATAGTTCAACGATTAGCATGTTTTTCTCCTTTCAGCCAATGAATAACGAATTTATTTGACATAACAGTAGTTTTTCATGGCTTATGTGAGGTCAAACTACCATATAATGTTCTCAAATCAATTGTCAATAAAATTCAGGTCCGGGTAAATATTATATTTATTAGTGAATATTAAATTAAAATGTAAATACTAAATCAAATTTATAAAGTTTGAAGTCTGTATTATTATGTCAAATCTGAAATTATCCTAAAATAAAATAATCCATTTAAAAAAGAAAAAAGAAAAAAGAAAAAAGAAAAAAGAAAAGAAAGATGAACCTAATTTCTAAATGCTTTGACATGTTACCGAAAATATTATATTTATTGTAATGTTCATCCTTATCCAACTCATCATGGTCTTTGTTCATTTGTTTCCCTCCGGAATCCCATGTTACCATTTGGATTTGTGATCATCCAAAAACACTGATCGCGAAACGATTGAATTTCCTTCCTTTAAGCATAATTTCATCTGGGTTTCTGTGCTATTCTGTTTTTCTCCTCACCAACTGCTTGTTTCTCAAGGGGTATGCATAAGATTGTGCAAAGGGGACGATTCTTGAATCGTCGACCAGTTCTTTTGGAAAAATCGCAACTTATTACTGGGTTCTCAAGCTACGGTGCTACTGATGCAATCCTAAAATTTTCTTCTGCTGAAATGGATAAAGCTCATGGGGTTGAATCTCTTGATTTTCGGTAATTCAGCAAGTGACACATTTCCTTTCTAGTTTCTATATTGGTGGTCATGGTCGAAGTTGTTTCATGTATGTTCCTCTGAATAGGAAGATCAATTTTGGGTGTGGATTCTGCTTTTGTTATGTGGTTTGTAGTTGGTTTATGTATGAGATGATTGTTTGAAGTTCAGGTTCTCTTGGAATAACTTCTTTCTGGGTTTATTGTATTTTGTCTTGAAACCAATTGATTGGTTGATTATTCTCTTGTTTAATTTGTTTCTAATTGAGCTGGACTTGAATATTGTTTGGATTTAACCTAATTAGTGTTGAGCATATGCATATTTCGGTTCAGAAGTTGGATTGATGGTTTATTCAGATGACTTGCTGGTGCTGCACACAGGAAATTCTAGTTTACATTGGTCTATAGTCAGTTATATTCTAAAATGGGTTGATTATTTTGTGAGTCTTCACTAGGTTTGGGGCAAATCCACTCAGATTAACTTTGTCTATTACCATATTCTTCTGCATGATTGTGGGGATTATGAAAGTTGATGTATATGAGGTATTTGGTCGCTGAGTAACATACAAGTTGAAGTCTACTTATAGGTAACTAGGACAGGATGGTTGGCTGTTGTAGCTTTATGCATGAATATTCTTTTCTTGTTGCTGTTTGGGGATGATAAAGCTCTAAAGTTCATTGAAGATATATATCTGTAGAAGTACTTCAATTAAACTATATATTGTTTGGTTGTACCCCTTTCTGATTGAATTAATTATGTTAATTTTTTAAATTTTTACGAGGATATAATGGCCATTGCCTTAAATAATGTGTTCTTTACTTTCCTAATCTTGAATACACCAGGGAAAGTACAAAGACAAGAGAACTTAAAAATGCATTTGACAAATACAATATAAAAGGCTTGTCTCGACGCCTGAACTGGACTTGGCCAAATGATAATCATCATGCTACCTGGTATGTGGTAAATCGTCATTTTACATCTGATCGCAATGACAGAAGCACAAAGCAGTTCTCAAGTAAGGTGCAACTGATCTTATGTATACCTTTTGTTCCCTATTGTTATGTATTTTAACTTGAAATTTGCTGTTAATAAAGGAGATGACACATGCTAAACCTGTTATATAATTACAGCAGCCATGTTGAACCTATAATTTTTTTTAATTAAAAAAGAAACTTTATTTTTGTTTTAAATTTCTATTTTGTACATTTAGTGCTGATGTTATATTATGTTTTGATAATTATGTTTGATTGAGCATTTCCTTGCTTCGTTAAATTTTTTTTATTCTAATTGTCTCGTTGTTGGAGAATTATAATAATACATACAATGCTTCAGCTTCTTCAAAGTATTCCAGACTTTGTGAAGATAGTGGAGGTTGGTCCAAGGGATGGATTGCAAAATGAGAAAGCTATTGTTCCTGCTGATGTAAAAGTTGAGTTGATAAAAATGCTAGTTTCTTCTGGGTTGTCTGTTGTCGAGGCGACAAGTTTTGTCTCACCAAAATGGGTACCACAGGTAAGAGTACATTTATTTTTCCTAGAGACAGTCGATCATGTTTTCTCCTTCATATTATAACATACTCTTGAAATATTTTTTAATTTTTATCATTATTCGTTTTTGGTATATTTTCTGCATATTTACATATTTTCTTTATTAGATCTTGTACAGTCTGTTATTTGTCAATTTAATATATCCAGAGATTCTCATCTTGATTACTATTTCCACATTTCTCTTGTAATTTTTTTGACCTGCTATCAGGAATAATGATTGAGTCTTTTCTTTGCTTGTTAAATGACTTGTTCAGGTGTCTTGTGCCTTTATTATTATCTGTACCTCATTTGAAAAGTTGTTCTGAAAGAGTACTATAAATTAATTTTTTTCTTGAGATAAAGTAGTGGTTGGAAATAATTTAGTGATCATGAAGGTCCGTGGCATGGGTAAGTGGATTCTATCACATTAAGGAGGGCTGTAATCCAATTTTGCATAAATTTATGAATAGAAAGTAGGGAAATTTGTGTCTCACTTTTGTCAATGAGTGGGTGACCTTCTGTTAGGGTATGACCCCTAATCTGATAAAGAGAGAACAATAGAGAGAACTGAATGACAAGTTTATTCCAAAGTTAAGAACCAACTAAGTTCGTTACATTATTTATATGACACGTCAATGGACAGGTGTCAGTAATTCAATTCAACTACTTCTAATACAAGGCTACCACCGTTTATGGGTTTATTTCCTGATACAATAGACTAATACTCCTAAGCTACAAAATCCTTCAACCAAATAGAGTTTCTTCTCTGTCTTCCAGATTTCCTAACATTCCCCTCTCCATGAAAATTAACCTTGTCCTCAAGGTTAAGGGAAGGATAAGAACGACGCAACTCTTCTTCTAGCTCCCATGAAGCATCTTCTGGAACTGTATCAGCCCACTGCACCAGAAATTCTCTAGCTTGTCGTCCATTAACATCAGTCGATCGAACAGCCAGCACTGCTAAAGGTTCTTGAATTGGTTTATTGAGGAACACAGAAGCAGGTAACGTAGCTCCCATCTTGGGATCAACTCCTCTAAATGGCTTCAAAAGGGAAACATGAAAAACAGAATGAATTTGACAGCCTGGAGATAATTTCAATTGATAAGCCACTGGACTTAACACCCTCTCAATCAAAAAGGGACCAAAAAATCACTTGGCAAGTTTATGATTCATACGTCTCTCAACAGAAACTTGTCTGTAAGGTTGGAGTTTAACCCAAACTTGGTCACCTTCTTCAAATCTTCTTTCCTTATGATGCCTATCATATTGAATTTTCATCCTGTTCCTGGCACGTTCCAAGTGTGTCTTAAGCTCGACCAACACCTCATTTCGTTGCTGTAGCATGGAATCAATGGCTTCCACCTTCACCAATCCACGAGGATAAAAAGGAATCATGATAGGAGGTTTGCTATAGAGGGCCTGGTATGGAGATATGCCAATGCTAGAATGAACAGCTGAATTATAGTGGAATTGAGCCCACCCAAGGAAACTGGACCATGAATTCGGTTTCTCATGACAAAAGGAACGTAAATATTGTTCCACATACCGATTCGTAACTTCACTTTGGCTATCTGCCTGAGGGTGGTAAGAGGATGTTGTGCGCAAAGTTGTTCCACTAAGACTAAAAAGTTGAGTCCAAAAGTGGCTGAGGAAGATACTATCACGATCAGACAAGATGGAGTGAGGAAAGCCATGGTTGCGCACAATCAAGTCACAGAACAAAGAGGCAACAGTTGCTGCGGTATAGTGGGAAGGAAGAGAACCAAAATAAGCATACTTGGAGAGTCTATCAACTACCACCAAGATTGTAGTAAAGTGCTTAGATGGAGGAAGACCAGTAATGAAATCCATTGTTAACTCTTCAAAAACTCCTTCAGGCACTGGAAGGGGTTGTAGCAACCCAGCAGCCTTAGATGTTTCAGGCTTAACCTGCTGACAGATAACACACTCCCCAACAAACTTCTCAACATCATTTCTCATGGAGGGCCAATAGAAAGACGAAGATAACCGTAGGAAGGTACGCAGAACACCAGCGTGACCACCCATTGGAGAGCTATGGGCCTTTTTAATAAGGATAGGAAGCAATGAAGATGAGGGTGCAAGAACGTACCTGTTTTTACAAAACAGAATTCCTTCCCGAGCTGAGAAATTAGGATCAGACAGCTTGCCATGAGTGAGCTGCTGATGTAGGTCCAACAAATATGGATCCTCTAAATTTTGGTGCTTAATATCAGCCAAAATATCAAAAGAAGGTTGAGAGATTAATGCACATAAAGACTCCTCTTCATAAACCCGAGATAATGCATCTGCAACCACATTGGTTCGACCTGTTTTGTACTCAATTTTGAAACTATATCCTAACAATTTGCTGAGATACTTATATTGATCCGAAGTCTGAATTGTTTGAGTGAGCAACTCCTTTATACTTTGATGGTCGGTGTGTATAACAAAATTTGCACCAAGAAGATACTGCCTCCACCGCTTGACTGCAGCAGTGATAGCATACAATTCACGCACATAAGTGGATGACTTTGCCAATCGAGGTCCCATTTTTTTGCTAAAAAATGAGAGTGGCCTGTTGTTCTGCAAGAGGACAGCTCCTACGCCACTGTTGGATGCATCAGTTTCCACAACAAACTGCTCAGAGAAATTTGGAAGGACTAAGACAGGAGTGGAAGTCATAACCTCCTTGAGCTTACAAAAAGCACTTGCTGCAGCATCATTCCAACTAAAGTTAGTAGAGCTTTCCAATAAATCAGTTAAAGGTAATGCTATTGATGCATATCCTTGAACAAATCTACGGTAGTAGCCCGTGAGGCCTAAGAAGCCACGAAGCTGCTTAAGGGACCGGGGTTCTGGCCATTGAACCATGGCTTGTATCTTCTTTGGATCTGCAAACACTCCATCCTTAGAAACCACATGGCCCAAATAGTCAATGGTGTCAACCCCAAATGCACATTTGCTAATCTTCGCAAAAAATTTATGATGTTGCAGACATGATAAGGTGGTACCCAAGTGCTGGACATGGTCTTCAAGTGTTTTGCTAAAAAATAATATGTCATCAAAGAAAACAATGATGAATCTTCGAAGGAAGGGCTTGAAGATATGATTCATAGCTGCTTGAAATGTGGTTGGTGCATTTGTCAAGCCAAATGGCATGACTAGGAACTCATAATGGCCTTCATGAGTCCTAAATGCAGTTTTTGACACTTCAGCTGGTAACATCCTTATCTGGTGATACCCAGCTCTAAGGTCCAGCTTAGTGTAAATCATAGATCCTCCCAATGCATCTGCAACTCATCAAGTGTTGTCCTGTTTCCTGACCAAAAGAACTAGTGATGAATATGGGCTTTGGGAATGCTGAATGAACCCAGATTTCAACAAATCAGCCACTTGTTTCTCAATTTCTGACTTCTGGAAGTATGCATATCGATACAGTTTGACATTGATAGGCCTGGTACCTTCTAAGAGATGGATGGAGTGGTCTAAGCCACGGAAAGGAGGTAATTCAGAAGGAACAGTGACAACCCTCTGATGGAGTAAAATGACCTGCCACAATTCTGGTCTAACAGAGGATTCCAATGCTGCTACCTCAGAGTTAAGTGAGCTTGTGGAAGGCTGTCCAGATAACAATTGCATTGAGCAGCAAGTAGCACAAGTGTTGTCAGCCTGTGCTTCATGGAATGAGGAAGCCTGTAAACCTTGCAACACCACATTGTGCCCCTTCCAACAAATTTCCATAGTCATCTTATTGTAATCATGAGTGACTCGACCCAGAAGCTCCAACCATGGCATTCCCAAGACGACATGCAAATCAGATAACTCAATTAACCAAAAATCAACATCTTGCAATTTAATGGGAACTTGTAAACATTTTCGATCAGCCAAAAGAAACTCACCGTTAGGGGTGTAAATGGGCTGGGCTGGGCTGGGCTTTGGCCATCCTGGCCCAAGCCTACGTCAAAAAAATTCAGCCTATCTGGCCTACTGGCCTATTAAAGGCTTTATTTGTAGGCCAAGCCCGGCCCATTTTCAAAAATAAGAAAGCCTGACATGGCCTACAGGCCTTGTAGGCCTCCCACTATATATACTAAGCAAAAAAAAAAAAATTGTATAGAGCAAAGAAAGTTCCATTCATGCATGCACTAGTACTTCTCATAAGAAAAAAATGACAAACAAGAAAGAGTCAACATAATACCTCAGCTCTAGAATGTATATCATAGAGGAATAGAGTCAAAGAAATGGGAAAAATAAAAAAAATACAATTACTGGATGCTGAAACAAAGTCTACAAGAGAATGTCATTCATCTAAAAATCTTTAAACCACCATCAAGACAAGGGAAAGAAGAGCATTATTGAAAGATCTTCATCAGTGACATCATAATCCAGCAAGGTACCCATTGCTCCATGGTATTAAGCTGCAACAGCATGTAAAATTTGGAGACATTAGACAAGTTTTCCTTTCGTAAAATAAAATAGCACAAAAAGTAAGAGATATTGGTATTTGGTACTTTGTGTCTTTGTCACATAAAATAAATATTATTTTATTATTTTATTTTAATAAATTAAATAGGCCAGCCTACAAGGCCGTAGGCCGGGCTTGACAAAATTGGCCTATGGCCTATTTATTAAAAAAGCCTTTTTATAAGCCTAAGCCTACTCTACTTTTCTGAAAGGCTGGGCCTAGGCTGGGCTTAATGTAGGCTGGGCTGGGCCAACCTGGCCCATTTACACCCCTACTCACCGTTACCAAGGAACACACGTATTTTCCGAGTGCGAACCATTGGCAAGTCCAACTGCAAGGCTAGTTGCTTCTGCATAAAATTTTGTGTGCTGCCCGAATCCACCAAGACAGAAATAACACTGCCCTTCAAGGAAGTGACAAATTTGAGTGAATGTTGATGCTCTTTGAGGGATAATGTGTTAAGGGCTGCATCAGTGGTTTCAAGCACAACTTGATCAGACTGCCAAATTAATTGGTCTTCATGAGCAGCCTCTTGATCCTCAGCATCCTCAGTTAAGAGCATCATGAACTTATTTTTGCAAATATGTTGTTTTGTCCATTTCTCATCGCATGTATAGCAAATCCCCAAATCACGTTTCTTTTGTAAATCATCATGTGAAAATCGTTTGAATTTTGATGGTGGTGGTGGTAAGGCTAAGGGTTGGTTGTGGGTCAGTACAGAAGTTGAAGTCTGTTTGGGGGTAATATCAACAGGGGAAATGTTTCTGGGTATAAACTTTCGTGAAGAAGTAGAGAAGGAAGATCTAAGCTCACCGTGATGATCATCATAGGCTAACGCCAACTGGAACGCCTGATCGAGAGTAGAGGGATCTCTTAATTAAACAACACTTGGTAATTTTGATTGAAGTCCAGAAACAAAAAAATCCTTGAGGAGACCATCATCAAGATCTGGAACTTGATTGACCAGAGACTCAAAACGTTGGATGTAGTCCCTAAGGGTTGATGTTTGCGTCAATTTGGACAGTGTGCCCTTAAGATTGACAAATGCTGAAGACCCAAAGCGCTGACGCAATGCCATCGTGAAAGAGCTCCAGGTACCAATGGTGCCACTCTTGAACATCCATTGAAACCATGCTGCCGCCATTCCCTCCATACGAATCCCAGCCAAAGGAACCTTTGAATCTTCGGGAATATGTTGAAGACGAAAGAAAAGTTCAGCTTTAAAGATCCAATTGTTTGGATCTGTGCCATTGAAAATGGGGATTTCCATGCGCACCCCTTTGAGAAGAGACCGTTGATCCAAACCATCATGGTGTCGAGGACCTAGATCCGACGAAGAGGTTTTAGGATTGGCATGAGAATGGGAACTTGGAGTTCCTGTGCCATGCATCGGTCGCGCGAGAAATGCCTCTTGCAATTGTTGCATTTGTGTCACCAACAACGAAATCTGATTCTTGGTGTCGGAAGCTAACAACGAAATCTGATTCTTGGTGTCCTCCAAATTTGTGTCAACACGTTGCTTGAACGATTGCAACTCTTTCGATAAATCCTGGATCCTCATCGTGTTCATCAACAATTGATGAAAAGAAGAAGAAAAGGTGGAGAATTCAAGGATGAAAGCACCACTGTTAAGGTATGACCCCTAATCTGATAAAGAGAGAACAAGAGAGAGAACTGAATGACAAGTTTATTCCAAAGTTAAGAACCAACTAAGTTCGTTACATCGACTATTTATATGACACGTGTCAGTAATTCAATTCAACTACTTCTAATACAAGGCTACCACCGTTTATGGGTTTATTTCCTGATACAATAGACTAATACTCCTAAGCTACAAAATCCTTCAACCGAATAGAGTTTCTTCTCTGTCTTCCAGATTTCCTAACACCTTCTACTGGATAGTTGTTAATGAGTGATATTGCAATGCATATATAAGTTTTTTGTGTGAAGTTTTATAAACATGTTTGAGCTTTGGTTCTTCAATATAATCTCTACGAATGTCAGTAAAATTCATTTATAAGTTACTATGCGCCATTGATTAGCTGGTTTCTGGATAAGGAAGATGTACACTTTTAGTTAGCAAGACATGATGTTGAATTCTACAGCTTGCCACAGTTTTGCAAAAGAAACACTGCTGTGAATGGTTGTCATTGCTATAATCATACTCATGTATTTGCATGCTTGTACTTTTAGTAATTACTGACTTTTTCTAGAAAACTTAGATAAATTGTCAATTTTTCTTTTAAAAAAAGATTGGCCAAGTGCACATTAGTTCAAAGAGTGATTAATTTATCTACATTATTGTCTGACAAGGAAATAAACCAAGTCTTCAAACTTATTGCATTCATAAAATAATAGAAGGAAGTATCTTACAAAATCACATATTTTTGTTGATTTTCTCCCTTCAATTTTTTTCATGATTTATGGCCTCGGGTTGAAGTGTTAGTCATGATTTCTGTTGTTCTTTCAAAATTGTGTTTCAATTGTACACTGTTTTCTGACCCAATGCTTAATGAATCATGTGATCCTCTGACCTACTAATTTCACATCTTTTTAACCCAATTCAGTTGGCAGATGCAAAGGATGTACTGGCAGCAATTCAAAACGTTGAAGGTGCTAGCTTTCCAGTCTTAACTCCAAACCTCAAAGTAAGTATTATAGTGAATGGTAAATATATTATTTAATTTCGAATTTGTGAATGGATGTGATTGTCTGACTCCCTTTCTTCCAGGGTTTTGAGGCAGCTGTTGCTGCTGGAGCTAAGGAAGTGGCTGTTTTTCCTGCAGCTTCTGAATCGTTCTCTAAAGCAAATCTCAATTGTGGCATTGAGGATAATCTTGCTCGTTGCCGTGATATTGCTTTAGCTTCTAGAAGCCTCTCAATCCCAGTTCGTGGGTATAGTTTTTGTTTGATACTTGTCAATCTCCATAGAAATGATGGAATTTTTTTTATCATTTTCTGAATTTTTTTGTGTTTCTACTAGTTTAAACAAAAAGGGTTATTTATATATATGATCAATTCTTTTATCGGACACATCCTGATTTAGAAAAAAGAAGGGACTTCATATTTTTCTCATAATCTTGAAGCATCACTTGTCTGTTATCAAATGTTTTCCACTTTGCCTTGGATTTTTATGGCTGTCTAAGGGATAGGTAATTTTGATGCTGATGGACCCCTTCATTGATGCATATGCTACAAGAAAAGAGATGGGAAGTGGAAGGATAACAAACAAGGCTGAGAAGTACAGAATAGGAAATAAAGTGAATATTCAGGTTGTTAAGTCTGGGGCATAACTGAATGCTGAGCTCGCAAGGAGTATGGAAAGTGGGAATTTGGTTTGGGAAAAATGAGAATATGAGAAGGAAGAATCATGAGTGCGAGGTAGGCATGAATTAAGCTTAAAGGGTTAGGAAGGGGAAAGAGGTTCTGAGTTGGCAGACCTCTGGAGTTTTCTTGGTTTTTCTGCAATTTTCTGTTTCTATCCTAGGCCATTTTCTGTTTCTGAATTTCTGTAAGGAATTGGTCTCCATTGTTCTTTCGGTAATACAAATTTATGTTCCATCAGATCCATCAGTGGAAGAATAACTCTTGAGCTGAAGTACCTATTGCCATGTTGACAGTTTCATTTAGCCGTGGGAATTATATCATGTTGATTTATATTTCATTTGAAATTGAAGCTGATTTGTTTTGTTAATGACAATATTTGATGGTATTCTCATCATCAGAATATTTTCAATCATAATCTCTCCATATTGGACTTACACTTGGTAGGATGAGGGCATAGATGATTTAGATAATAGAAATGGTTTTGCAGAAAGTAGAATGTGTCCCAGACTTCAAGTTGTCCTTACTAGAATCTATTAACTTTTCCTTCAAATTATTTGAACAATCTTAAAGCAGAATTCTCTTAATCTTCACTTTAAATTTCAAATTCAAGGTAGCAAATGATATGATCAGTCATGCAACTTATTTCATACTTCAGATATATATCATGCGTTGTGGGATGTCCTCTGGAAGGAAATGTTGCTCCAGCGAAAGTAGCATACGTGGCAAAATCACTTCATGAGATGGGCTGCTCAGAGATTTCACTTGGGGATACAATTGGTGTTGGTACACCTGGTAATGTTTCTACGTTTGTTGTCACTCATGCTTTACGCTATTTCGGCTTTGGTTGCTGTACTGGTGTATCTATCTGACATGTTAGGAGACTATGACTCTTGTTTTTGTTGATCTGACTCCTTTCTTTAATTATGTTCTCAACTGTGTAGATAGATGATGAATTGTATGTAGAGAATCAATTGTGATGTTTCTACCAAAAAAAATAATTATTTTCATGTTAAAGACCATTGTAGATGTTTTCTAGAAATTGTTTTCTTTTTCTTATCTGTCTCGAAGGAATTTGTTGATATATGGTATTTTCTGAGGAATATGATCAGATGTCTAAGGCGATTGGGATCTGTGATGCAAGAAAAAGAACATCTTTCTCTGTAGATAAGACATTAGATTTCTTAATTCTAGTTACTCAATGGAAGTTAATGGTGTAGTTCAGTTCAGCTCTAGTAATAAACAACAGAGCATAGAAGATTAACTGATTGTCTGTTGTCAAAACTTTCACACATCTGATATACAGTAAAGTTGTATTTAATGAGTTCATGCTATCTAATATACTTACTACACTTCATTTTTATGGCCCTATCCTATCTGTCTTGGTTTATCAAATTTTTCTGATTTGATTTAATCTTACTCTCTTAGTCTCTTTGCAGGTACTGTCATTCCAATGCTTGAAGCTGTTCTTGATGTTGTTCCAATTGACAAGCTTGCTGTCCACTTTCACGATACTTATGGTCAGGCACTTTCAAACACTCTGATTTCACTTCAGGTAATTTTTTTGGGGGATGCTGATATTTCATTGGGACAGCCTAAGTTTGTTGGATTGGTTGGCTCTTACCAAAATGGATAACCTGGGTTGTGCTCTTGTCCCTTGTTATAAATTTATATATCGTGTTCATTCTCCGACTTGAAGAAACTGGATTAACTTCCCATGACATAGCACTTTATTGCTGGGATCAAGATTGTTAACTTCTGCCAAGCTAGATAATATTGTCTTTGTGTTACGACTGTGATTGGATTGTAAAAGGACCTTAATTAGGGGCCAGGTTAGTTAGAATTAATGGCTAGGTGGTTAGAAGCAGTTAGTTAGTGGCTTAACAGGGAAGTCAAATTGTTTTTATATAAGAGGATTTGCCCCTTTGTTAGGATATCTTTTGGAAAAAGGGAACATCTCCCGTGAAGAGGTTCACCTCTTGTAATCATATTTTCATTTACCTTCATTTCCCGTATCTTTTCCTTTTCCCATATCCTCCATTGTTGTAGCTTTAATGTTCTGAAATCCAGAGCCCTAACAATTAGCACTATAAAAACCTCTCTAATTTTTTTATACTTCGTGCTTAAACATGCTAGCATGTATAACTATCTTATTACAGACTGGTAAATGAATGAAACTTGCAACTGCTGCGTATGTTTCAGATCAATTCCTATTTGGTTAAACCTGGTCATTTATTTTATAGATGGGGATCAGCACAGTTGATTCATCCGTCTCTGGTCTTGGAGGTTGTCCATATGCCAAGGGTGCTACTGGGAATGTTGCCACTGAGGATGTTGTTTACATGCTGAATGGGCTTGGAGTGAAAACCAATGTGGACCTTGGAAAGCTTATGCTGGCTGGGGATTTCATTTGCAAGCATTTAGGACGAGCATCTGGTTCAAAAGCAGCAACTGCCTTGAGTAAAGTTACAACTCATGCCTCCAAACTGTGAGTTACTAAAGCTTGATCATGCATCTGCATGATAGGTAGATTGTTTTACCAACTGCATTTTTCGTTTCCATAATTTGTTATGACTACAGAGATTATGTGTATGTTGGTGTTCCCCCTCCTGTGGGCCATGCCTTTAGACAACACACTGAGAAAGAGAGAGCCAGCAAACACATGCTTAATGCTTTTCAGTTTGCTTGTTTTATGAGTTAGTTGAGTCTCTTTGATTAGAGACATCAAATGTTGAAAATGTAATCGGGAATGAAATTATGAAAGATGCTGAGTACGTCTAATTTCAACAGCATTGTCATCTTTGACATATATTTTTTATAATAAAGTATTTAAAGAAATTAATGTTTTTTTTCTTTGGGTTAGACTTTTTTTTTTATGTTGTGAGTTTTTTGGGTATAGATTTGTGGAGCTGTCATTCAAATTTTCTTTTCTTATGTCCAAGATTTGGGAGGTTCTTGAACATAGAATTTTGTTACTTTGTAACAAATTGAAGGGAAACCAAGTTACCGAAAAAAAGGGAGCTAAATTCTAGGGAAGCTTAGGGTGCACAAGAGGCACATATGTTACAATCAGGTGAACGGTCTGATCGTATAAAATGAGGCCATATGATTATGACTTTTAGCTGTTACATGTTCCTGATTTTGCACTATGTTGTGGCATGTGGCACCAAATACTTATCATTATCCTGTATTATATTGTTTCTTTCTTTCCGTACGATGGTCTTTTTATCTAATGTGTCTATATGTATACATATAATTCTAAATATTTGATGTCATCTCGAGCACATAAAGTATCTCATTAACCCGAGTGGCTACTAGTAAAGTAATGAATTAATAAATAACTAACTAGAAAGCTGAATATCCCATGTCTCTTGTCTGAAAAATCTTATAGCCCTTACCCTGCTTTTAAACAACCCTTTTACAACTGACACAATAATAACCATTTACGAGGTACGTTGGTTTATATCCATGCTGTGGTGTTTTCTTCCTTCCTTGATTTTCTCCCAGATAAAAGATCTGTGTTTAGAACAGTGACAACATAAAAATTATAGGTAGTTCAGAGAGTTGTTGATGACATAAATTAGGTAGTTATTGCACTCTTACATAGACTTCAACGTATGCTGCTTCATTAAAACCACCCTTAAATGCACTGAGGAGTTTGTCTCCCAATTATGCTTCCTGGTTATATCTTACCCTCACAGACTTACATAGTGAAAAATTTTCTGGTGAAAAACATAACACAAAATCCAATAGGGATAAATAACTTAACAAAGAGGAAAGTAAAACAATTTCATAGATTGTTTGTGTTTAGCTGTTATATTTTTTGTCTTTGATTCTTTTTGTGCTGAAATAAGGCATTCGATCAGCAGATTTCCAGTGTGATCACAGGCTTAGGTAGAAACGAGTTTTCTAATAGCTGGGATTGTAAATCTTTTCTGGGTCATTTTGGTGGTTTAGACTCGATCATAATAAACATTTTACCAAAAACTAAAGTTTCACTCGTAATTGATTATAATGTCATGAGTGATTTCTTTATTATTATTACTATGTACAACAGACGCTTACGTGAAGTTTTACTAAACTCAAATACAGACAAGAACTTTTTGGATACAGACAAGAAGTTTTTAATCATAATAAACTTTTACCAAAAACAAAAGTTTCACTCATAATTGATAATAATGTTTTCTTTCTTTCTTTTTTGTAATTATCCCAAACTCAAATATAGAGGATAGACACTTAACATAAATAAAAATAATCTATTGATGTAACTGACAGTATCAAACTGTTTGTTGATTTTTTATTTTTTATTTTAATGGTAAGAGTTCAGGGATCTAATCTGGTCTTTGTGACCAAATCATTGCTTTTATTCAAAAATAAATTATTATTTTTAATTTATTTTTTCAAAAGATATTTCAATCTAATGTAATCAATCCTGCATGTTGACTGTATGGGACAAATACCCCACATTAACTATACGAAATTTAATGTTAGTGTGGAGGTGACATCGCACGTTGATCAGACTTAGTGCTAGCATGGAAATCTCACATGACAAATATACTGGAGTTTACAACATACGTATAGGATTTATGAATAAGTTTTTAGTGCTACTGTTGTATTAAGATTCATTGTATTTCACCAATAAGAGCATTACACATTATAGGAGAGAGAAAAAAATTTGATAGAAAAAAAAAAATTAATTGATATGTAATATTTCTATTGGTGGGATGTACTGAATCTTTAGTGCAACAATAACACTAAAGATTTATTCGGGACTTACTTGCTAGCATTAACTCTTGTATTGTCAATGTGCAAGACATCCAACTGACATTAAGTCCCATGTCATTGACGTGCAAAATTTGTCCGATACATTTAACTTGAGGGATTGACTGTATTAATTTGGAATATTTTTTAAAATAAATTAAATAGGTTTTTTTTTTTTATCAAGCACATTTATTTGATCAAAAATCTGTGTTTATGAAATTTATATTAACTTTAACTTCACCATCATTATCATTATATATTGGATGCCATTCAATTCATTGCCCCTAGGGGTGAAAGTGGGCTGGGCTGGGTCAAGCTTTGCCCCGAAAAGCCCAAGCGTACGTCAAAAAATTTCAATTTGGCCTGACTCAAGCCTAGTATGAGTCTAACTGTTAGCCTGGTTTGACTTGTTTATAAAAAAACAAATGGTCTGGCTTGGCCCGTTAGCTTGTTAATTTTTAACTTCCAAGCAGAACCATGAATCAACTTTACAAAGTACTCAAATTCAGTTGCTACACCAAAAATCATAATTTCAACGTCCAAACAGAATCATGAATCATAACAAAACTCATACGATATGCATTTAAGTCATTTTCGAAAGCAAAATGCTCAAACTAAATAACATATATTTCATCAGATTCAATAAACAAATCCATACTATGTAAATTAAAATAACTACATGAATCCACAAGTCATGATGTTTGTAGTAAGTATAACTCTCCCAAAAATCTTTTAATATATTCATATATACGATCTAACATGTTGAGATGTTGGTTCTTCCTATATAGAAAATAAAATAAGATTTCTATTAAAATATAATCGAATATAATTAAGTTATAAATAATTGCAATTGATTAAATTTACATCTTTTGTTTTTTCTTCAAGACATACTTATTCTATTTTATTTTATTTAAAATAAATAGTACAATATAACTGACCTGTGGGCTTATAGGCCCGGCCTTTTGAAAGTGGGCCTACGACCTTTTTATTAAACAGGCTTTTTTAAAGCCCAAGCCCAGCCTATTATACAAAATATACTAGGTCAGATCTGGCCTGATGTAGGCCGAGCCGTAGACCGACCCGGCCCAGTTTCACCTTTGCACCTGATGTAACAAATTAAGGGCCTGTACCTAATCCCCTCCCTCTCCCTTTTCCCCATATTTTATTAAATAAAGGTTGTAAGGAATAATTTCTTCTGTATATTATGTGTCAAAGTACTTTCCTGCCCACAACACAAATCCAGCATGCAAATGCCATATGGAGAAATTAAAGATATCTTTACTATATTTATGATATTCACATGGACCCTTCTCTCCTTTTCTCCCTGTCATTGCTTTGAGTAAAAAGAACTAGTGTTTTCTCCATTCTAGTTTTACTAGTATTGCAAATCTTTGCTCTCTACACCGAAACTATGAGTCTTTTAACCCAATTGTCCCTATCAAAATGAAAGAGAAACTCAGTTCTAGTTACAAATAAAATAAAAAGTTCCTTGTCCTCTCCTCATGAACCATTAATGCTTGCCGCTTCATTTCATTAAAGATACTCAAATGGGGACTCTCTGAGCATGGAACCTTACTTTAAATGCCAGCCTTGTCGTGTACATTTATGCTTCCTGTGACATTCTGATGCCCAGAAAATGACTTGACGTGTTCTTGAGGTGATCATGTAATTTTTATTTTTTATTTTTTTTTATTTTGGTAAGCAGGTGATCATGTAATATTTACCTTTGTGAGAGAGTTGCCTTTTATTTTATTTTTTTGTTTTTATTTTTTTTGTTTTCCTCCAAGCACTACTCATCAGCAACAATTAACAAAATAGTCAAATTTCGTGAACATAAATTTTCGACTCTTGCTCTTGCTCCATGCTAGCTCTCCACATCCATTTCAGTATTCGGGTACTATGCGAGTGTCATGTTATCCACAATGATAAATTATTTGTCCTTGAACTTTGAAAGGTGTATGAGATTCTAGAAGGAGTAAGGTTTAGACTAGATGATGGCATTTAATTTGTTCATGCATGTAAAAAAAAAAAAAAAGGGTTAATTAAAAAATTATTGCTCTCAACAATTTAACAATTCACTATTCGAAATTGACAACTTAAGTGCATTAAATGTCAGACTTGGCCGTTAGTGAAGAGTCCCCATAATTATGATGCATTTGCAACCTAACAGAAATTGTTCACATTGTACCAAAAAAACTTTCAATGATGAAGGACAAAATATCTGCTCTAAAAATAATTGTATGTTCTGTAACAAAAATAAAATAAAAAATTATTTTATCCTGTGCAACTTACAAGAGGGGAAGAAGGAAGTCCTTAAATGAAAACCATGTTGTTATGTTTCCTTGCAAACAGTATAAACTGCCTCACTAGGTTTTCTTCCCATAAACAGTATATTCCTTGTTATTATTATCTCTTTGGAGGATTGATTGAAGGAAAAATTCAAATTGAAATGTTTTAAACATTACAAAGGAAGTTTGTTAGATTATGGATAGCTAATAAAGATAAGAATGAAATATTGATTAAATTGTACATGATTGATTTATACGTAATCAAATAAAAAGTATTGGTTCAGCTGTATATATTCAATCATATGTATGCATTAATTATTTAATAGTACAAACATTATTCTTTCTTTTTTATTTCCTCTATCACTAAGTGGATATATGGCTGGCAAACGCAGAATATTAAAAATGAAACTTAAAGTGGGGCCTCCCTCATAATCACGAAAGAGAAATTAAGATGACTGGACGGCTGTGCACATTCGGTTCCTACCCAGCTTCATGATTAAAAGTGTTGATGTAGGTTGAAAAATTTAATGCAGATCCATGGCTCAGATTTCATCTCATCACACGGTTGATTCCACAATAATCACTATATGAAAGACTTCCCCTCCCTCCCCCCTTAACTCTATCGATTAAATTATATGTTGACCAATTTTTTTTTATATATATATAATTCAATCGGTTCATCGATTATTTGATTAATTCAATTTTAACTGGGTCGGACTATAAGGATAACAAAGTCCTTCCAACTAAGTTT